ACGTATTTGAGATATATTTGTAATCATTCTAATATTTCTTTTAGATTTCTTATTGTTTCTTTGTAATTCCTTTGAGGTTTCTTTGAATTTGATTAAAGCTTGCTTAGAATTGTTATGGTCTAATTAGAGTTTAGTTAATATTTATTAGAGTTAAGACTTTTTTGTTACAATTTCCATTCTACTTTCCACAATTAGGTGCCTGAAGCATTCTAAAGCAAGACTTCATATATTACGACAACGTGGAATATTGGATAGAATTTCATTGACTATGATAGGTATAAACAATATACAACTAGATTGATTTGTATAGAAATAAAAAATTTTCAAGCCTTTGATAGTTTAACTTGTCACAAGAACGAGTGGTCTTCATATTGCTACAAAGTAACCATACCTTATCATCCATGTAGAATGGTGGTTGTTCCTTTTGATAGACATCCATATTGATCTTTTATTGAGCTTAAGCTTCTTTTAACTGCGCCTTCATTGTTGCTTGTAGCTCTAACAAATGATTTGCTAAATCTTTTATTATAGGATTATCAGCTTTTGAAAAGTCAAACGTATCAAGTTATAGATGATAATCATAATTGACAAAGAAAGGTGTTTATTTTGTAGAAGAATGTACCATTTTATTATAAGCAAACTCTGCTAATGGCAAAAGAGTTGTGTAACCATCTTGTTGGTAGTTGATGGTACATCTTAAATATTACTCCATAACTTGATTAACATGCTCTGTTTGTCTATCAGTTTGAAGATAGAATGCCAAAGATAGTTTTATATCCACTTTTAGAATCTTAAAAAGAATCTGCCAAAATCATGATACAAACTAAGTTCTCCTATTTGATATAATATCCTTGGATAATCTATGATAGCAATAGATATTGTCAAGAAAGAACTTAGTTATTTCTTCACCAATGATATCTTTTGTACATAATACAAAATGTGCCATCTTGATAAAACAATCTACTATCACAAATATAGAGTCATAAAAACTTGAGATTGAAAGATCTATGATGAAATCCATAGAAACAGAAGACCATGGTTGTTCCGGAATGGATAATGGCTGAAGAAGTCCATAAGGTCGATGATGAGGAGTTTTTTATCTTGAACAAACATCATAAGATTGTATAAAATCTTTGACTACCTTCCACATTTGGAGACACAAAAAATCCCTAGATATTAATTCCAAAGTTTTATTGTATCCAAAATGTCTTGCTGTTCAAAAGTCATGACGAGCTTGAAGAACACCTGATCGAGCTTCACCTTCTCAAACATATATGTGTCCCTCAAAATATAGTAGATTGTTCTTGAATTCAAACTTGGAAGTAACATGAGACTTTGAAGGATTTTCATTAATAACACGAATAAAAAGATCATAAGACATACTTGATTGAACTTACTTAATGAAATTTGAATCAACAGTTAGTATTGATTTCATTGCTCAAAGATGAAGATACTCTAGCTTCAAGAGAATTGTCCATTGTTGATCAAAAGCAACATCTCCTTTCTTTGGTACAAGGTAAGATCGTCCAGAGAGTACATCTGAAAAATCTTGTGGTTTTTTCAATTGATAAGTGATCTTGAATTTGAATCTTGATAAAGACATATTCCAATGGACTTGGTGATAATTCAAAATACAAACTGACATAAAATATTCAAGGTTCTTGTAATCCATATACACAATGACTGGATTTAGAGCACTTTTTAGATAAAAGGCCATTCTTGAAATGAATCCACAATTGCAAGAAATTCTTTGTCGTCGATCTTGTAGTTGATCTTTCATGCTGAAAATTTTCTGGAATAAAAAGCTACTAGGTGAAGTTTATCATCTTTTTCCATTTGTGACAATACAGCACCCAAAGCAAAGTCTGATGTGTTTATTTCCATAAAAAATGGTTAAGAAAAATCGACACAATACAAGATTGGTGCAGAAACAAATGCTATCTTCAAAGTTTCAAATGCTACTTTTGCTTCTTGATTCTATTGAAGTTTGTCTTTACAAGTCAAACATATAAGTAGAGCTGCAACTTGAGAGAAGTCTTTCATGAAGATCTGATAGTAGTTTGCAAATCCCAAAAAGCATTGGACATCTCTTATCATTTTTAGAATCTTTCAATCCATAATAGCTTGAACTTTCTTACGATCCATCATAAGTCCATCATTCGAAATGATATATTCTAGAAAGTCGACTTGAGTACTATGAAATACACACTTTTCTATCTTGGCATAGAGTTGTGCATCTCTTAATTTTTGTAACATATGATAAACATAAAATTCATATTTTTTTGTATTCTTAAAATAGATTAAGATGTCGTCTAGATAACAAACAACAAAATCATCTAAAAACTCCCAAAAGACATCATTCATTAGATGTTAAAATGTTGCTGGTACATTTGTAAGTCCAAAAGGCATGACATTGTATTCGAAATGGAGTCTTCCATTCATCTCTTTCTTTAATGCGTACCAGATTTTATACTCTTTATAGATCTATTTTTGTATAGATCTTAGCTTGATTCAATTGACGAATGAGTCTAAATATGAAAGATAGCGAGTACCTATTCTTGATGGTGATTTTGTTGAGTCCTTGATAATCGACATGCATCTGCAATGATTCATCTTTTTTCTTTACAAATAAAATTGGAGCTCATTCTAGAGATTTGGAATGGCATATGAAGTTTTTGGCCAAATTTTCTTCAATTATACTCTTTGAGTTCAGCCAATTTATTTTTTTATAAATTTTAGATTGATTCAAATCGCAATTACGCTCCTTCTTGAAGGTCAATTGAGCAGTCATAGGAATGATGTTCCAGAAGAGTATCTGCATTCTTCTTCTCAAATACATCTTAAAAATCATGATATTGGCTTGGAATGCCACTTGAAGTCTTTTCATTAATAGAAAAAGGTGCGACATAAATGACACAAGGTGATCTTTCTTTTACAGCATACAAGAAAGCTCTTGCACCTACAAATACAAGTTTAATTGTACTAGACTTATGACTTTTTACTTGATTAACTATGCTCTTACTTATACTTTCAAAAAAGTCAAGACTAAAAGAAGTCCAATCTATTTTAGAATAATATATTTTTTTAACCATGATAAACCTAATATGACTAGATTAGAGGGAGATTTAATGATATTAAATATTATAAAGCTATTATGACCATTATTTGCTACTTCTAAGGAAAGATTTCATGAATGACATCTCTTGAAGACAATTGACGACTATCTATGATTTCTACATGAATAGGTTTAGTTTTCTTCACTATAAGTATGTTATTTCTTTTAGCAAATTCTTCATCTAAGAAACATGTTGAGGCTCCTAAATCTAACAAGGTAAAGGCTTTGTGATATTTAGGTCCTAAAATAACATCTATTATAAAAGAAAGACAGGGTTTCGAGGAAAAAATAAGACCTTCATTGGATGTTGTATAAGGTTTCAGCCGCACGGTTCCTATTGTGGCTAGAGAAATTCGTTTTCTGAGATACTATCATCTTTGATAGTCATACTTCTTATCTTATGGTTGTATTGTTTCTTTGGACAATATTGAGCAGTGTGCTTAGATTTTTCATAATATAAGCACAATCCTTCTTGGTGACAACAAGTCTTTTCTTGCTCAATAAGAGATTTGAAACATACTACATCAATTTACATATCCTCTACTTCCAAATGTATGTGTTGAAGAGATGTTGGTATTGCCATTGAATTATAGTAACGTTGAGGTCTACTTATACGGTTTTCATATGGAAATTCAAAAAGATGATTGTTGCACTTCACTGCAAAGTCAATTGCTTGACTCAATGTTTGAGGATTAGGTAAGTTAAGCATTAATTTTTTTTACTTCATATTATAATCCATAGAAAAATTGGCTAACAAGTGCAGCATCATCCCACTTGATATCAATTACAAGTTGTCAAAATTGTGAGCCATATAATGATACAGATCGATTGCCTTGTTACAAATTTTTTTACTTTCTTCCAATGTTTTTGTCAAGTTTATGTCAATGTTTTCTAGGCTTTCAAAAAATAAATAAAAAACCAGGGTAACTTTATTTGATTTACGTGAATCTTCTATAATTATTAATTTATTTTTTGGTAAAATATAGCATAAAAATAGATTATAAAAAAATATTTAAAATAATTTTTTTAGATTGAATTTTTTTTATTTTTCATTGAAAATGGAAAAACAAAAATACAATATATATATATATATATATATATATATATATATATATCTTTTATAATAACTTGAAGCTTATTTGATTGTTTGTTGCGATGATGTATACAATCAATTAAAAAACTAATAAAAATATGTCAATACTTTCAAGTTATAGTTTGGCCAAGTAGTTTTACATATATTAGCTTAAACCAAAGAGTGTGTAGATTCAAATTCCTTACCTTTAATAGAAATTATTACTTAAACTATGCATAAAGTATTACTTTGCACTTTTTATCATCATTATTATTATTATTATTATTATTATTTATATATATTTTAGATTTAGGACCCCAAAATATTTACTAATATTAAAAATATAATTAACTATTTAACTATTTATTTATTCGTTCTTTAGAAAAAATAATTAAGATCCAATAAAGTGTATGATTTTTTATTCTACTTCTAAAGCTAAAATTTTACATGTACCAAAATCACCATTAATTTAAAGATATAAATTCACGATGATAGAGAAAAAAAAGAATAATACGACTCAAGGTGAAAATCTATATTGAATTAGTGCCAACATTAAGCGAGAGACCTCATCCACGAGCCCCCATCCCATGAGCCCAGTTCGACGGGTCCGTTTCACACACACACACAGACACACAGGGAAGCGGGAGCGCGTTCTCCAACGCAGTCGGACGGGGCGAGAACGCGTTCGCATGGCGTCCCATCCGAAAACCTCCCCCCCGTTGGCGAAGACCCCCACAGCGAAGACCCCCTCTTCCTCCCATGCTGCGAAGACCCCTGGTCCCCCTCAACCCAGCTGCTGCTGCTACTGCTGCGTTGCCAATGCGCCCACGCCCAACTGTCTCACGCAATCCCACAGAACCTCGCTGGGTGGGTCGAATTGCTTCTGCTGCGCCAGATTAGGTCACGGGAAGAATCACACACACACATTCTCACTCACTGCGTTAGGTCGGAAGAAGGTTGAGGAGCTATGGCGGTCATGCTGGTCACCAGTGTGGGCGAGCTTGTGGTCGATCTCTTCACGGATCTGTGCCCACTTGCCACCAAGAATTTTCTCAAGCTTTGCAAGTACGTTTTCATCGTGCCTTCTCACGCATGTTCTTCGCTTTCTTCCCACGAATTCTCTGTATGTGAGTCCCGATTTTTGAAGTTGGTGCATCGTAAAAAGTTCCCTATTCGTACGATGGGTCCTGTTTTCGCTATTGTTGTGTGTATGTGTGCGTGTGTGTGTTGTGTTTTCCTCTGTTTTGGTGATTTTTGGAATTGATGTTGGTGCCTGATCTAATGTGTGATTTTGTTGGGAAATGCAGGATAAAATATTACAACAATTGCTTGTTTCACTCGGTCCAGAAGGATTTTATTGTTCAGACTGGAGACCCGACGGGCACTGGAAAGGGTGGTGACTCTGTGTACAAGTAAGTGGGTGATTCTATGAGTATTTGTGCCGGTCATGCTTTTGTTTTGGATCTGTGAACCTGATACCTGAGGCTATCTGTAAGGCTTCGGGTATATGTATTATATTTTCCTGCTGCAATTTTAGCTTATCTCTTTGATTATTCCATCAAATTATGTTTTTGCGTTTGCTTTAAAATTTTTAAAATCCTTCTTCTTCTTCTTCTTCTTCTTCTTCTTCTTCATTTGAACACCCCTGGGGTATTACCGTATCTGTCAACTGGGTTCCTGTTTGCGTGTTGCATGCCAATTTTGGCAATTTCGTTGAGATGTAGTATTATAGGTTTTGCATTAGTTATGTGATGCATGGAATATCAATGGGTTGTACAGATTTCGGTGGATGGTTTTTTAATACACATCTTATTTGCAGATTATTGTATGGGGACCAGGCTAGGTTCTTTGATGATGAATTTCATCCTACCCTTAAACACGACAAAGTGGGCATTGTGGCGATGGCGAGCGCGGGTGAAAATGCAAATGCATCCCAGGTAGGTGGTATCATACGAACTGCTTTTTTCAATCGCTCATTCTGTTCTTTAGTTCTCTTTCGAATCGTTATATTTATTCATTAAACATGAGAGCTTTGACGTAATACGGAACTAGGAAAGTTTTTCCTGGTGATTATCTTAAAATCAATTTTTATGTTGTTTTGGTTTTTCTCGCAGTTCTACATTACAACCAGGGCTGAGCTGGACTACCTCGACGAAAAGCATACGGTCTGTAAGTTTTTCTTTACGTCTGTTTACTTAAAGCAAAACATTTTGTTCTGATGGTTTGACTAATTCCTTTGTGTATGTTCTCTTTTTGAACGCAATTCATGATCTGCTTCAGGTATTTGGTGAGGTTGGAGAGGGCCTAGACACTCTGATGCGAATTAACGAGGCGTTTGTGGACGATAACTTTAGGCCGTTCAAGAACATCCGGTATTGATCAGCGAATATTCAAGCTGCTCCTCTTTTCATCATGTAATTGTTTGCATTCCATCGGATTCGTGGTTAAAATCTCTTGTTGGATACTGATATTGTTAGACTAAACTATTCTATTAAATCTGTGTCTTAAAATTTAGAGAAGAGCGTATATGATGTGTATTTTACTGACTGGGTGGCTTGGGGCAGGATAAAGCATACCATCATTTTGGATGACCCATTCGATGACCCTGCTGGCCTTGCAGACCTGATACCAGAAAAATCTCCTGAGCTAAAGCCTCCGGCTGATGTAATGTTTATTCGTTCTTGTGTTTTTCCCTCACTTTGTTTATTTGGTCGCAAAAATCTCGTGCATAGTAGATCGCTGTTCTTGAATGGATAGAGTGAATTTGTATGCGTTGGGACTCAGATTGCATGTGCTGGTTTTTCCTTACAGGGGGAGGAGGTGCGACTGGAAGATGATTGGGTCCCAATGGACGAGACTATGGACCCAGAGGAGCTTGAAAAATCGCTACGCAAGAAAGAAGCTCAGTCACGTGCAGTTGTTCTGGAGATGGTACGTTTACGAGTTTGTGTGCTCCACACCTGGTTTGCATGTTGAATCTCACTTTTCTGTAATATTTACAAACCGAGTGGTTATTTTATTCGTATGCGCCAGAATCTTTAAGTAACAGGGGCAATCCATTTGCTCTCCTGCCTGTGATCGTGGATTTCTAGTTCTGTATTCTTTCGTTGAGTGTTATGCGTTATTTTCCTGTTCCTTTTCTTTTCTTACTGTAGAATACTGCGACTGAATAGGTGTCGGCAACGATTAATTAATTGGTGTTTGTTTGTATGCCCGTAGATTGGGGATCTTCCAGAAGCAGACATGAAGCCTCCCGAGAATGTGTTATTTGTTTGCAAGCTTAATCCTGTTACTGAGGTAATCACTCAGAAGTGATTTTATCTTAGTCTTATGCCAGTCGATATTTTCTGTTTTTATACATATAGGACTGCAAAGTGATGGGAGATAGCAAATCTAAGAATTGTGTGGTGGATTTACACAGGAAGGTGATCTTGAGCTTATCTTTGGTCGGTTCGGCAAAGTCAAGTCGTAAGTCATATCGACCTTGTCTTCCCAGAAGTTTATTTCTAGCCTTTATCTAGCAGATATCAAGGTACATGATGCTTTCATATAGATAATATAACCTACAATGAAATGTTTGTTTGCATCATCTACAGAGCAGATATCATACGAGACTACAAAACCGGAGATAGCTTGTGCTATGCATTTATTGGTATGTCCTTTCGCACTTTGTATTTTTTTGTCATTACTATTGTTGATTGAATGTAGTGTAATTTCGGATTATTGTTCTGAACTATTACCGTCCCCTTTGGATACCTTATGTTTATCAGTCACATGGCGTCCATTTTTGGTGCAGAATTTGAAACAGAGGAAGCATGTGAGGCCGCTTACTTCAAGGTCAGTTATTTGCACATTTGAATGTTCGTGGGCGAACAGGGTCCTATTTCTCTGCATTTTGATTGGATTTTAGTGCATTAACTCTTTTCCGTTTTGCTGATTTTCTTCTTTGTCACTACAGATGGACAACGTGTTGATTGATGATCGAAGGATACATGTTGATTTCAGCCAAAGTGTTTCACATTTATGGAATCGATACCGTAAGCTTGGAAAGGCAGGTGGAGATGGTCAAGGTGAGTTAAATCATTCACTTGAACTATTGCATTTTCTCATGCTATTAGGAAGACTTGGGGTTGCCGGTTGTATGACGTTTTCACCCACTAATTCATCGAAATTTCGGATGGTGGTTGGATTCATATCAGTTGAGGGATTGGAAGGGTGAATTATTTATGCCGCAGAAAGGTGGTTAAATTTTCTGATTCTGGTAACATTCTTGGTGTGATACATATAGTGAGTGCACAGCCCATCTAATTTCGCTCTTAACGTTGTTTATGCTGCAGCTGCTAATGGCGGAAAGGGCTGTTTCAAGTGTGGAGAGGTTGGCCATTTCGCTAAAGAGTGCCCCAACAACGGTACCGAGCAGAAGGAAGGCCCTACTGAAAAACCTAAATACACAATTAAGGACACCGGTGGTCAACGAGGCCACGCACATAAAAAGTAGGGAAACCGTTTTTGCTCCATGGTGTATATATGTCCCCTGTTTTTATAGATTTAAAAAAGAACTACCAAGCTATATGTGGTTTTGCTAACATTAATCTTCTCCATTCAGGTATGAAATGGTCTTTGACGATGACGAGGCACCACCAGAGCAGAGGGAAACAGAAAAACATAGATACGATAGACACAAATATGCAAGAGAATCGGATAAAGAGAGAAGTAAGGGAGACCAAGACGAACAAGGTGGTAGACCTGGGCATCATGCAGAGAAGGGCGGTGATAGGTCTCGACAAGGTGCACGATATGACAAGGAGAGAGACGCGCACAGAGACTCTGGCTTCGGACATCACTCTCGACAAGAGAGAGAGTTCGACAAGAGTGAAGCAGACAGGAATCCAAATAGAGGAAGTGGTAGAGAGTCGGGTCGGTCTCGTAATGTCTCGTACAGAGGCTCAGGTGGGAGAAGTGAGAGAGATAGGGAGTCGGAAAAGCCTCGTGAGGAGCGCGACCCTGACAGGAGAAGCGAAAGAGACTACGAGAAATCTCGTGCGGAGCGGGACACTGATAGGAGAAATGAGAGAGATTATGAGAAACCCCGTGCGGATAGGGACACAAGGAAAGAGACATTTAGAGCTGATATAGAGAAAGACACAGGAAGAAGAGGTGAGAGAGAGCATGAGAGGTTTCGTGCAGAGAGGGACGCAGATAGGAAAGGTAGGCAGTCTGAGAAGACTCGTGTAGAGAGAAATAGAAGTGGAGTAGTAGAGAGAGACTTCGAGACGCTTCGTTCAGACAGGGATATGGAGAGAAGGGCTGATAGAGAGTTTGAGAAAGCTGGTGACTTAAGGGACACCAACAGAAGAGCAGATAGAGAGGCCGATAGACGGGGCAAGCACTCTCGGAGGGAGTATTCTCCGGACCCAAGAGACAGTGAGAAGATAAGAAAGGAAAGTAAGCTTAGGAGAGAAGATGATATGAGCAGTAGGAAGAGGAGGTCTTAGTGCAATTGATATGAAGTTGTTTGTCTCGTCACTTTTGTAGTGAATTTTAAAGGGCGTGAAACTAGTCTTCCTATCAAAGAAGGCTAACCTGGAATGGATGTGATGGAGGTGATTGTTCATTGGAAAGAGCTTGGTCTGGATGAACATGGAACTGGCTTTAAAAATGCCACCGGTTGAAAGTAGAAGCACCCATAACTGACACCAAATATGTACGAGATTAATTTGAGTGTGGAGTGGAGTGTGGATTTCTTGTAAATGGGTCATTGAGAACGATTTCCAAGTCAATTTGTTGGGCATCGGGTCCTTCGATTACCTTCAGTCCTTAAATCAGTTTGCCCGCATTCAGACTGCTTCAGTGTTTTAAGTGTGATATATTTGAATTAATGGTTAGCATTACTATAAAATAAACCTAATAATACATAATAATTCACGACACTCGTGGTCAAGATCTTGACCCAATGTCTACCCACTTGTGGTGTGAGCCGAGGCAGGACTTCAAACCTTGAATTTGTTGGATGGAGGTCTGACTCCGACTAACTGATTATCTCTGGACATCTTCAATTCAAGTCTCTTGAGCAAGCCGTCAAGCCTCGAGCTAATGAGAGCATGTTTTATGTTCAAGCTTAATTGGCCAAAACTTAGAATGATCCCAAGTTTTTAACTTAAATTTGTACATGTCTACGATGTAGTGTTGAATCTAAAAGGACAGACCAACTGAAGGGTCTTATCCATATGATGTATCAAGTACTTGTGGTGAGTTACGGTAACATGCGTTTTCATTTTCTTGTGCAACAACTGAACTGAAATATGGCAACATGCAATTTGTACATGTGAAGATGTATTTGTAAAAAAACAAGATTAGAAGTGAAGATATGAATATTTAGTGTGTTATGTTGAGAGGTTGGAGCATTTAGCTCTTCATTAAATTCAAGAGATAAACTATACATTACCAAAGTACTAGGGAGTTACAAGCAAGGAAAGACAACAAAAGAACCAAATTGAATTAAATTTCTATAAGATAAAATACCTGAAGTATATAATCAAGAGTCACACTATTATACTATTTAATAAATATTCAATTAATTATTTTCTACAATATATATATATATATATATATATATATATTTACACTAGTTAAGTATTTAATTAATTATTATTTTTAAAAATATTCTTTATTATATATACTATGTATTGTATATATTTCTAATCTCAATATTGAATTAATAATATATAATAAGACTCTCATTCCAATAAAAGGATTAGAGTGGTTGAATAGTATAGTATAAGAATTATTTAACTTAAAAAATGTGAAATTTTTGAATCTTAGGATTTGATTGAAAGATTAGAGAATTTTTAGGTGTTTCCAAAAGAATATAAACCAACATCATTCAAAAATTGATGATGTTTTTGCTAGGGTAGACTCTTATCTAAATTATTTTCTACCATTTCATATATAGATATGTATTGGATTTGGACATGTTCAAATTATAGAATCTCATAAGTAAAATGATATTGTATTTCTATAAAATTGGTTTAAGAATGCCAATTTAGATTAAGACTTAAAGATATAGTACTTTGATTGTCAATATAGATTGTAGTAGATTTCTTTTAAAGAAATTTTAGATTGTTTAGTAATATTTGTAACCAAACAACTTAAGCATATGCTTTAGATAATAGAAAAGTCATATATTCAAATTTGGTATAAAAAAGGGATAACTAAAGTTTGTTTCTTGCTAATCCAAGAGATTATTGCTCCCATAAGAAGAAAAAAAAAAAAAAAAAAAAAAAAACTATAACTTCATGTAAAATGTTATGCATCTTGATTACCAAGCTCATTGGTATTGGAGTAATATTGTAAAAGATGGTGTAGTGATAGTTGTTTATAAATAATATTATAGATTATTGTTTCTTTAACATATTGCATACCTTGTTAATTCTTTGCTCATGGATAGTTCTAAGATTGGATAAATATAGTAATAAATTATTGAAATTAAATATTAAATTAAATTAAATTAAATATATGCTAAATAATAAATAAAATTTTCAAGGCTCAAGATACAAGCATATTCCAAGATGTTATACACACATCTAAAATTATTATAGATACACCTAAAAAAAATAGAGGCCTTTAAATGATTGTTGTTATATGGAGTCTAATACCTACAACAATTGTAGAAGAATGAGAAGAAGAGAGGAGAAGGAGGGGGGGAGAGAGGAGATGGGAGCGGGAATAAGAGAGACAACAATTGCTTGTAGGAATAAATAGACTTGAACATCTTTAAACAAATTTTTCATAAGTTGTATATTTTTTCTAAGTGTCTTGAGATAAGACTTATTATGAAAGGAAATGAGAGATTGAAAAAGAAAATGAAGAAGAAAGCAAAGAAGAGAAGGAAGAAAAGAGTTAGAATAAAGAAGTGAAAAAGACGTAAAGAGACATACACACAATTTGCAATTTTAGGGTTCCAAAAAAGAACATTGAGATTACAAAATTACTTAGTCCATACAAAGTTTAAAGTTAAAATCTTTCTTTTAAGGGCTCTACCTCTAAAAATTCTCCCATAAATGTTGCTTATTAACTCTATCTATTGACTGGCTAGCAAAACCACTACATGAAGAGCAACTACCTTTTGATCTTTTGCCCTCATCTACAATTTTTGCAAGTGTTAAGCTCAACACAATAATAAACAACAAATCACAAGTCTCTATTTTTTTGGATGTGTATATAGTAATTTGAAATATGCATGTAGCAACTTAATGTGTGCTTATAGCCTTAGCCAATTATCAATTGATTCAAAATAAAAAATGCGTATAGTTTGATCTTTTTTAACTTCATTCATTAGACAAAATCTTTTTAATAAATATCTTATCAACTTTAAGAGATATAGAGATTATATAACAAGTATTCATATAAAATTATTGAAATAAAAATTATAAATATCTCTCTTAATTTAATATAAGTAAAATATTATATTAATCACAATAAATTTGTAATTCTATAATATATTATATGTTGTCTTCTTTACTTTTTTAAACCTTTTTATACAAAGATCTTTTAAAAAATTAATGATAAAATCATCAACATTGTATTTAATTTTAAAAGTCTACTTAGACATTATGTCATGGACATACTCATGTAAACCAGTAATTACAAATATAAATAGGTAGAAGTAAGTAAAAGTAGATAAAATTAAGTTAATTCTATAGTATTTGGTATGGAAGCTTTCTAGAAGCTTTATAGATGCTGCTTTGACTTTATAGGTGTCTTTAATTGATTTTTTGGATTAGAAACGTGGTCAACAAGTTGGCCATGTACCACACATTTTGTTAGCTTGAAGACCAAGCTAACAATGTGGCCCACACATAGAAAAACTTGTATTATAAGTCAAGGCATGTGACTTACAAAGTCAACACTTATTGGAGGTCCTATTGAATGTTGCCACGTAGCCCCTAATTAGACAGTATATATAGAGACAAGAGTAAAGCCTTCTTCATTCTTGTCAACTCCTTTCTTACTTCTAGTCTAGTTTCAAGGGTCTCTAGTTTTCTTGTCTTTTGGCAATAGCCATTTCAGTTTTTCTTTCAATATATATACTTGTTTATATATATTTTGTTACTTCTCTTTGACTGAAGGCTCACTTGTCTGAATTGTTTTTTCATCGAGTTCTTGTCCTTGACAGATTGACGAGAGTACACCTACAATATCAGAGCTTTGTCTAATCTTGATTAAGAGTGGATTATCCCCTTTTCTTGATAAGATATAAGCATATTAGAAGTTGCGGATTACCCTCTTCTAAACTGATATTGTCCTTAGTATTTTCTTTGTCCGCAAGTCCTCTCTTCTATTTGTCTTGAGCGATATTAGACATTCTTTCTTTTCTAAGTGTTATCATGGTAGAACTTCTTGAAATGAAGAGTGCAATGGCACAAATGCAAGAGCAATTGAGGGAATTAATGCTTGCAATGCATCAACTGAATTTACCACCACAAGGAGCAATAAGATTGGCAGGAAGTGAAGATATAGAAATGGTTGGAGCTGCTTCAACATCTATACCAAGCCATGTCCTTTCTCCTATAGTAGAACGCCCTTCAAATGTTAGAGAACTAAGAATTGCCCTACTCGAGAAGTTTGATGGCACCAGATCCAAGTTTTGAGGATTTATCAATCAACTGCAACTTGTGATTCAACTTCAACCCCAAAGCTATCCAACTCCAGGATCGCAAGTTAGATTCATTAGTACGCTTCTTTCAGATTCAGTACTATTATGGTTTTCATCTTTTCTTGAACGACGAGATCTAATATAAGATAATCTAGAGGCTTTTTTGGCAGAGTTTCAATCCATGTATGGAGAACATGATGCAATTTGTATTGCAACCAATAAGATCCATATTTTACGACAAGAAAATTGATCAGTAACGTTGTATGCTTCACAATTTTGACAACTTGTAACTGATATCAAGTGAGATGATGCTGCACTTATTAGCCAATTTCTCTACGGATTACAATACGAGGTAAAAAAAATTAATGCTCAACTTACCTGATCCTCAAACATTGAGTCAAGCAATTGACTTTGCTGTGAAGTGCGATAATCACCTTTTTGAATTTCGATCTGAGAACCAACCTCAACGTTACTATAATTCAATGGCAACACCAACACTTCTTCAACACATACATTCAGAAGTAGAGGATATGTAAATTGATGCAGTACGTTTCAAACCTCATACTGAGCAAGAAAAGACTCGTCGTCGTCAAGAAGGATTATGTTTATATTGTTGAGAACCAAAACACACTGCTCAACATTGTCCAAAAAAATGACGCAACTACAAAATGAAGAGTATGGCTGTCAAAGAAGACAATATGTCAGAAAACGAGTTTGTCCAGCTACAATAGGGACCGTGCGGCTGGAACCTTGCACAACATCTAGTAAAGGTCCTATTCTTTCCTTAGAGCCCTCTCCTTATTTTACATTAAATATTATTTTAGGATCTAAATATTACAAAGCCTCTGCCTTGTTAGATTCATGAGCCTCAGCGTGTTTCTTAGATGAAGAATTTACTAAAAGACATAGCATATATTTAATAAAGAAAACTAAACCTGTTCATGTAGAAGTCATAGATGGTCGTCCATTATCTTTTAGAGATATTACTCACAAAATCCTTCCTATAAAAGTAATAATTAATGGTCATAATAGCTTTGTAGTATTTAGTATCATTAGATCTCCCTCTAATCTAGTTATTTTAGGTTTATCGTGGTTAGAAAAATACAACCCTCAAATAGATTGGATTTCTTGAACTCTTACTTTCTCTAAAAGTATAAC